TAAGTATGCGCTCGTCACTAGACGACCTGCCGAATTAGTACTAGACGTCTATCGACTAGTGCATGATATTCTACGTACTAAATTATAAGGTCAGGGACAGCTCCAACAATGGACTTAACGCGTTATTATAAAGCTGGTTGAGGTGTTTCCAAACGACGATCACAGTAACAGAAGTAAGTGGAGGCGCTTGCTTCCGTATGCTCTGTTCGCTCTATCGCATAGTTAGATAGAGGATAGTAACGAGGAGAGATTAGATCTTGCATGGAAATGTGCTACGAGTCTATACAATGATGGGAGATATAAAGAGGCTGAAGAGCTAGACGTGCAAGTGATGCAGATGAGGAAGAGAGTGCTTGGCGACGAGCATCCTAACACGCTGACCAGCACGAACAATCTCGCCTTCACGCTGCAGTCGCAAGCTCGCCGCGAGGAGGCTCTTGCACTGATGGAAATATGCGTCTAATCGCGCCAGCAGGTCCTTGGCGAGCAACACCATGATACACAGTCGTCGCTTGACACGTTGCATTGCTGGCGAGCAGAGTATATTGACGAGAGCCTATAACTTTATCTGCGTACGTAATGTAAATCTCAAAGCTAGATACTATAACTCACCTAAACTATATAACTATAACTTTTAAAAGTAACTAGTCTTATAGTAATACGCAGTAGTGAATCCTCATAACACTAGATGTCTCGTAAAAGGGTTGTCTACTCCGCACAACAAATCTACGCAGCTCGGCAACGAACCTTATACTAGAAGTGGGTGTCAGGTAATATAGCTGCCTACAAACCGGGAATAAGAGCTGCCTGAGGCAAGGATCTCAGTGCCAGAGTCCTTAGCTACAGCACGTAATACGGCTCGCAGACACCTCAGCACGCTACTACTGTAAAATGTCGCTTATAATGCACGGCCGATCACATGCGTTTCGACGATCTTGCTGTCCGCGCGGAGTGAGTGAGTGAGTTGTATTTAACGTCTATATATAAAGCCTCCCTTGGGGCATGTAGACGGGCTATGCCTATGGCTTGCCGTACTATGCCTAGGATGCCTATTCTTATTTACATGATTGTAGTGGTCTAGTAGTGGTCGTTCCGCCTGTTGATCGCCACTGAAATGATTGTGCAGTAGGTGTGTATCCGCCTTTAGTTGTCGTAGCTGATGCTTACTAAGGAGTGTGTAGTATAGAGGACATAGGAAAGAGAAGAGAAGGAGAGAGAAGAGAGAGAAGAGAAAGAGAGAAGAGAAAGAAAGAAAATAGGAAGACAGGAAAAGTCTTACAAGTGTAGGCTCTAGTGAGGCCTATATATTGTGTTATAGAAACCTGTGATTTCTAGGAAGGCGGCAAAGTCCTCTGGCTCTTCCCAGAGCGTCTGGAGGTACTTGATTGCTTCGCTAGGTGTCCTAGGCGGTGCTGGTGGCCGTCTTGGCCAGCGCTGGAAGACGTTCGCTGTTGTGGTTTTCCGGCATAGTGCGATGTGCAAGGGGGTCTTTGGGCGCCCGCAGGAGCACTTCAGAGTCGCGTTGTCATGGTGGAACTTCCGGTGGTACCATGCAAAGTCTCCGTGGCTAGTTCGGATTGCCAGCAGTCTCGCTAGGGTTGGGCGTGTTAGCTCTAGCTCCTGGGGTGGTCGGGTGGGCTGGTACGGTAGCTTCCACTGGGTGTACCAGTCAGAAAGCTTGCTCTTTGCGCTATTCCACCAAGCTGCTCTAGCTGTGGCTAGTTCTGCCTTCCTGATCGTGCGTATCCCCGATACTGTCGGTTGTGCTGCTAGTCCAAATGGAATAGAAGGTTCTTTCGCCTCCGCATCTGCGAGGTTGTCTGCTGCTTCGTTGCCTTCAATGTTAGTGTGTCCTGGTGCCCATCGGATCTTGACATCAGGCATTGTATCCATTATCTCCTGACATTGAAGAAACGCCCATTGTGAGGAGTCTGAGGCTGTTCCGCGTAGACACCAGATTACTGAAGTGCTGTCTATACACATATAAACCGCATCTGTTGGTCTTGCTATCTGGGCCGCGTGCTGAAGTGCTCTGCATGCCCCAATCGCTTCGGCATCGAAAACATGTGAAAGCGGGTGGAGAGACCCGCGTCCTGTGGCTATCTTTTCCTGGGCCCGGTATATGGCATACCCATAGGTGACTCTCTTTTTCCCTTCACAGTGCTGTTCCGATCCATCAGAGAAGATTGTGATCGTGCTGCTATCTAAAGAGGCCCACCATTCTTTGAATTCCTTCGCAGCAGTTTTCTTCTCTATTCCTAGCGTTGGATCTGTGCGGCACCCTTGCGAGAAGTGCGGCGCTATTAGAGCTGGCCGGGGGATAGTTGGCAGAAGAAGGCCTAGCCTCTGGATCTTAGTTCTTGGTTGTTGCCTCTCCCCTACCCTGGTGCCAGACTGATTGTGTGGTACGATCGCTCGGTGGGTGAGAGGGTGCTGATGGTCTATTGTCTGAAGTCGCAGCGCGAAGCGCCACCTAGCCTCTTCAAGTGCTACTTCTGCTGACGGTATCCCAGCTTCTCTAAAGAGAATTGGAAGGGGTGTTGTTTTATATACTGGCAGTACTGCTCTTACAGCCTGTATAAGTATGGTTTGGATAGCTGTAATATGTTGTCCAACTCTTGTGCTGACAGAGATAGGGTTGTCTTTCCTCCTTGATCTCGGGTTTCTTGTTCGTCCTTCATACCAGGCCTCTGTTCCGTACAGTAGTGAAGGTAATACGCATGTTGTTACTAATTTTCGCATAGCATCTGGGGGCGGGCCATGAGCTGTGTTCGCGAGGCCTCTTAGGTGACTGGCAAGCTTCTTGGTGGCTGCTGCTCTATAGGCGACGTGGTGCTTAAAGCTAAGCTGGCGGTCAAACCACACTCCAAGCCATCGTAGTGCTGTCTGCGATCTATCTGCAGCTGGCACAATTGGTTCTAGCGTTGTTGCGTCGGATAAAGGTATGCTTGGGGAATAGCTGTCTTGCTGGCGGGTAATGTGGATCGCTTCTAGTTTCTCTGGGGCAAAGGTAACCTTATTCTGTGCACCCCACTGGTTGATTGCTTGTATGTCTCCTGCTAGTAGCTGGACATTTTCGTCTAGGGTCTTTGATGCTCTGTAGATATTAATGTCATCTGCGTATCCAAAGCGTAGCGTTCTGTCCTGATTAAGAAGCTCGGCTAGATAAAGTGTGTACAGAATTGGCGACAGCGGGGACCCTTGTGGTGTGCCACAGGCTACTAGGTGGCGTGGTGTAATCTCGTTGCCTAGTCGTACCTGTACATAGCGTTCTGATAGGAAAGAGTCAATAAACCGGACACAGGCTGGTGGCCAGCCTTGCTGGGCCATCCGGTGTAGCAACCGGTTCTTGAGAAGCGCGTCGAATGCTCCCTGCACGTCCATCGTGACCATAGTCACGCGTTTGCCTACTGCCAGAGCCTGTTCTACATCGTGCGTGAATGCCGCTACAATGTCCATAGCCGATCGCTTTGGAACAGCTCCTACGTGCTGTGGGCTGATGATATCGTGCATCATTGCTGTTGTAGCAATTCTTCTTGCCACTAGGCGTTCCAGCCCCTTGCCAATGCATGAGAGTAGGGCTATCGGCCGCATTGACCGTGCTGACGTACGGTCTTTCTTTCCGGCTTTTGGTATCATTGTTACTTCTGCCACGCGCCAGCAGTCTGGGTAGAACTCTAGCTCTAGGCATCTCTGATAAATTGCGCGAACGAGGTTCCTGATATCTGCCCAGCACGCCTTTAGTAGCCGTACCGTTATTCCGTCCGCACCTGGCGATGTGCTAGCTACGCCAATAGCATAGCGCTCTGCTTCTTCAGTTGAAACCCTAGTGTCCCACGGTAGCGGGCTTTGAGTGTAGTCCTCTGCTTCTGGTGGTGCTGGCAGATCATCTGCGTCGTTGAAGCGGTCTAGTAATTCTCTGCGTAAGGCCTCAGCCTTCTCTGCTGCATCTGTGATGGATTCACCATTTACTACTAGTGGGGAGTCTTGTTGGTTTGGTAAAAGCTTGTGCCACCTGGCTAGGCTGTAGAGGTCTGAGTCTGTCTTAATGCCGTCTATCCGGTCTCGCCAGTAGGCCTTCTTTGTTCGGCGCACTGTCTTTAGGAACTCTCTGGTTGCCTCTGTTGGTGGAGTCCCTATTCCCGTATGGTCTCGCAGGTGCCGCCGGTACGCTGTCTGGCATTCTGTCGTCCACCATGGCGCCACTTGGATTTGTTCCCTCTCTCTAACCCCTGCTGTCTGGATTGCCTCTTCTATCGCTTGTGTAAGGTCCTGGATTATTGTTTGTAGTTGGCTTTGGTTGCTGGCTCTTGCCGGATCCCTGATACCTATGATATTTAGGCCTACTAGTTTTGTGAACCTTTCTAGGTGTCTCTCTAGTACTCTGTGCTTCTTTGGATCTTCTGCTGCTAGTCCTCGAGTTGGTAATGTCGTGACCTGTGTTGCGTGGTCTGAGCCAGAGTGCATGTCCGGCCGTACCACTGTGTCGGCAAAGGAAATGTTTGAGAATGTTAGGTCTATTACGTGGCCAGCTCGATGAGTTGGCACTCCTGGCTGCCCGATGAAGTCCATGGCGTGAGTCTGGGCCCAGCGTGCGAGCTCTGACCCGCCTCCTGTGGTCACCGAGCCAGGTTCGAAACTCTCATGTCTTGCATTCATATCCCCTCCAATAACGCATCTGTTTGGTGGTGTCAGTTCCTGTATATAGGTGACTGCTGGTTCTGGTGCCTCTCGGTTCTGGTACACGTTAAGTATAGCGTATCCGTTCACCTCTGTCCAGAGTATGTCTCGCGTGACTCTAGGTAGCACTTTAGCTCTTAAATTAACGCCCTTGCGGG